GGTTTCTCTCCCGTGTGAGTAATCAGGTGTGTCTTCACACTATCCAGACGGGAGAAGGTAGCAACACACAGATCGCACTTATATGGTTTCTCTCCCGTGTGAGTTTGGATGTGTGTCTTCAGAGCACTCGAATCTGAGAAGGCGGCATCACACAGATCGCACTTATATGGTTTCTCTCCCGTGTGACTTCTCATGTGTGTCTTCAGGTGACCCGAGTGTGCAAAGGTAGCATCACACAGCGCGCACTTATACGGTTTCTCTCCCGTATGACTTCTCATGTGTTTCTTCAGATTACCCAACACTGAGAATGCGGCATCACACAGCGCGCACTTATACGGTTTCTCTCCCGTGTGACTTCTCATGTGTATCTTCACTCTACTCAGACAGGAGAAGGCAGCATCACACAGTTTGCACTCATATGGATTTTCCCCGGAATTAATTCTCACGTACTCCATCGTGCTTCAGGGAAAGCTGCCACGTACTGGTCACACACGTCAGGTGTCTACCCTGTCTGGCGCTCAAGTTACGACCACGTGTTTTGCTTCGTAGACTGCCTTGTCTCACTTGTAGAATTCACGTCCTATATAGGCTCTCCTACAAATTAGTAAGGATAGTACAAATCAATGCATTGAACACCGCGTATTGATGTAGAACAAAAACGCGCCCTGTTTATGTTTGCAATATAACTGTTCATTCTGAATATCAAATTATTATCATCCAAACATCATACACCATTTAACGACTGTAAGGACAAGCACATAATATATCACGAAACTAAATACACTAACTTAATATAAGAAACATCCGTTTACCCAATGAAGTCACTGAACGTCCGTGTGGTGTTCTCGTATTAGACTGATGTTACAAACGTCAATGGTGTGATTATATACCTGCTGTTATGATGAAACCGGTCAGATATCCTGACACACGGGTAACCGGTCTTATCTGCTGATACCAGGACACAAGGTGGTCGCTTCCCCTAAATAATTACAAAAGCTACTGTACACCTCGCCCACAAACATTGCTGTAAAACTATCTCATGGTCTCTCCTGGGCTTGGTGCTTAAGTAGCATCCGTACTGTGTAGGAATGTTGATTGTTATTTCTACCAAAGCAGCACTAACCAGCCGTGTAAACAAGCACTAACAACAAATCAGTGTATACATAATGTTCTTACACACACCAAGCAATCCCGCATCTCTGACTTATTGAACTCGGAGTTCCTCACAACACCCTGCAAACCTTTTTAATGTATCTCATTTCATGTATATTAAACAATGACTGGTGACACCTACAAACCATATATTTACCTCCGCCAGGGGTGGCTGGCGGAGGTTATGTTTTCACCGGCGTGTCTTTGAGTGTTGGTTTGTGTGTTTGTGGGTTTGTGTGTTACCATGCACGTTTCAGTTCACTTCCGCTAGATGTGTTGGCTGTAGACTTACAAACACGCAACCACAGGCTAATAGGGCGCAACCACAGTTTCTCCCCACTGCAGCCTCGCACTTAACTCGCAATCATATTAATTATTAAGTATTATTTATATTATATTTGTCTATTTGAATAGGGATTAATTAAGTAAAAAATTTCACATTGAGAGAATTCAGCTGCCTTGGCGGAGGGCTGTTGCTCCCCGAGTGCCTTAGTTTACAACTGCGCTAAGTAATCTAGGCTTGGAGTATGCATGTGTTTTTAAGCATCCTTATGTCTGATTTTAGCTGCATTGGTTATAATGATGGGGATAATAGGCGTAGGTTCAGTCTTCACAGCTTGCTCGGCACACCCTTATTGGTTCGTGTTATACAAAGATAGCATAGGGTATTCCGCGTCGTTGCTTAAAGGCCTCTTTATGCTGCGTTTTATGCCACGTGTGTTCCCGCGCCCGCAGCCCCGTTTGGCCCGAAACGTAGTGCGCACGTGGGATTATGGAAATTATTATTTCTCTTCTGTTTCGAAGTTTTATCAGGTCCTCTTGCAACAGTTTTCTCACTCCTATCACGGTATCGTGACGGGCCGTGGGGGAAAGTGGGCTGCTGAGGTCGCGGAGGGTCGCAAAGGCGCACTAACGGTTTGCGTGCGCGGATCCTCTAAACCACGATGCCATTACGTTCCTCCCGGCCGTCACGGTTTCTGACTGGGGTCACTCCACGTTCTTCCTCCTACGATCTGATCAAGTTCTGACACGTTGTATCATCACGTTTTGTCAAGTGCTTTTCTAGCGGATTGAAACGTGGAAAGCGCGGCAGCTTTGGAACACGCTTTGTGCCACGGTATAAAAAGAAGGGCTCCCAAGCCAATACAAATCATTGTATCCTGAGATTTCGACGAGGACAACATCATGGAATGCCCCATAATTGAGAAGCCAAGAAATTTGTGTTTGCCATGTTGCCGTGCATAACATCCACGTTGTCATCAGCAAGAAGTAGAGCCAGCAGCGTTGGCAGAAAGGGAAGGCCAGTGTGGTAGGCAGTCAGGAAGAAGGCTGGTCGAAAGCCAAGATCCATGTGGTGCGGCGAATGGTTATCGAAAGACAGAAGGCAGCAGCTCGGGCCACTACTTCAAAGACATTTTAGATTTTACTTTTAGTTTTTAGTCCAGTTTTTAGGACCGCCGCCGGCGCCTTGTCAGCCGTAGTTAGAACGCAATACGCGCGCGTAGCGCCGCCGGGAACCGAACCCGTCTTGTCCAGTCCGCCCTTCCTCGATCCCACTACGGACCTCGCTTCGAAGTTTTGGTTACGGCGTGCTCCTTATTACTGCTGTCACGTTTTGTTGCGTTCACCCCGTTTTACTACGCCTACTACGTTTCTCATTCGCACTCGGTGACCGGCTGCGTTGGCAAATCTTTATAAAAAATTAATATATTATGGCGCAGACATCCACAGGTAATCACGGCCTGTCAGCGTTTGCCCAATTCCGTCCCCCCGCGGTATGGTCTCACGTTCATCACAACGTTTTGTCCACGGTGGGTCGTGAAACGGTGGCTGCGTGCCGCGCGGGTCGGGGTCGAAACACGATGGTGTAAACGCCAGCGATTAGTATGAAAAAATAGTTACATAATATCAAATTAACTATTTTTGTACATACTACTAAGAAATTTTACAGGCTGAATGTCGTTTACGGAGGTGTATCCAGAAAAACGCAGTTTTTTGGATTGAACACAAATGGTTAAGAATTTGCGGAAAGCTAAAAAGCGCAACCTACTTTGTGCGCGTGTGACGTTTAGTGCTGACGTCGATCTAGGCACTTCTCGCGTTGTTTACCCATGTTGCCAAGGTTACATGGAGCCTGTTGGCGTACAAGCTGTACAATGTGAACCACCGATTCATAGGAGTTCGTTCTCCTAGATTAATATCAGATTCGTACCGATACGGGTACTGATGAGCAGATCAACAGCATTGATAAAGCATCGAAGAATGCACAGTAGTCCAGTAGGACAGATAAGATTTATATCTATTTGTTTATTAGTTGATCAGCCTGGTACATGTTGAACCGTTGGCAACGATTACCCTAGGCCGCCCGACCAGGCTCTGTGCGACGGCATTGTGCTATACAACGGAGACGGGAATGGATGATCTGCTAATTGCCTAGCAATACGTTTCTTGAGCTTACGATTACCCAGGCATGCGTTTTTAGGCAACCGTGACAAGACAATAGTTGCCGATTGCCTTGTTCAAGGTTCGTTGCCAATGTTCGAAGGCAACACGTCGAACCAGCAGAAGGAAGTGAGCTGCTGTAGAATGGGAAGTGTGCTGAATCTGGATTGCAGTTTAGCCCGCTTCAAGTATTTCATTGTAGGCTACTAAGTCTGGTGTACATATTGAATGTTTTTGCTTTCGGGGGCTACAACGCTAAATAGCCTAGCCGAGAGAGTTTTTTCCTCAGACAGATTATGCAAATGTGCAGATTTCCCATTTCTCTCAGTACTGACAAATTTTCTAAAAGAGAGTTAGCGCTCAGGTACTACAGTGAGGCCTGACTAAAGAAATGAAAAGGTGATCATAGCCAAGTCAACTTTCGTGGGCCTGAGTGATTAATGTGGTTTAATCGCGGATAGTTAAAGTCTACAACTGCATATAGTGTACATACAGTATTATTATGCTCATTGATTACATTTAATATGGCAGTTGGATGTTTATGCCAGTATAAGTTTCAGCCGATGATTAGCCTTGCTGCTCATGCACTGATGCGAGGGCTTTGTTGATGGACGGGCGCAACCGGCGAAAGACCGTGGTCTCCGTCACAGCCGTTTTCGCGCCAGGTGGCCGTTTGGCAAAGTATTTTGATATTTCCACAATTTATATAGATCCAACATAAAAAGACGTGTTTTAAATATCACAGATGGCAAACATAAAAAACATGACGAATGCTTTGGTTATTTACGTTATGATACCTAGCATCAAATAATTGCTAACAACAGCGCAGCCATATGCGTCTGGCGCTCATCTGAGGTCGCCTCGCGTAGAGCGGACAGTTCGTTGTGTTGGGTGGCGTTGTCGCTGGGCTTCAATCTTGAGCGTCTGGTCTGCTATTGATTATAAACCCGGGGGTCGGGGCGAGGTGGGGGAGGGTGGGGGGAGGGGGCTTCTCATTAGCAAATATAGCGTTCAACTTCCTTTGTTAATCAGTCAACAAACTCCATGTTAAACCTCCTCTTGCAGGGTGCAAAAGGTTATCCGACACTTACTCTCTCGCCCATGTCAGCAGAGGGGACATTTCATGGTCCTTTCAATAAGCCATAATGAAAAGAATGCATAGTGTGGTCACGCCTGAAACAAAAAAAGTTTTCAATCGCTTCGTCAGCCATGTCCTCAAAAAATGATCTAAAATCTGCCCTGTGCCATTGACCTTTGACCTGTGACCTCCAAATTTCGGCACAGTGATGGCTTTGCCTACCATTGATCGCTATATACGAGTCTAGTCGCCGAGCCGTTCTAGATTTGTGCGCCGATTCTTATTGCCTCCCTATACCTTAACGTTAATGGATACTCGTGTGAATGTTCCCCTTCCCTCTTTTACACCTCTTGACCTCTTAACACTTTGACTCCCCCAGCTTCGACAATCCCAACTCGTTTTTGACTATCCCCCACGACGAGCCCAAAGTCGTCACTGCCGGTCTGCCGCTACCCCCCCCTCTCCCCTCTCCCAATCCCGCGCCCCCGCTCTCTCCCCCCCCCGACCTGCCTCTCCCCTGCCCCTCCCCGTCCGTCATGGCGGTTAAAGCATTTGTGCCAATACTGTTTGAGGAGACGGGACGCGACAGGACGGGGACGGACGGAACGACCCGCACGGGACCGATCATCGCATTCTACAAGCGTTGACATCTGACGTATGTCAGATGAGCCCTTAACACAATATAGACCAGTC